CAAGGCTGCAGCCTACCAGCATGCGGCACGATTGCCAACAGAGGTACAGAGTGAGGCGGTAAAGCTACCTGGGAATCGGCTGGCCCACGCGCTGCGCTATCCCGAATCGAAGGAGCTTTGGCGTCAGCGCCTTCAACCTGGAGGCTCTGCGCCCTTTACAGCCTCTCCGACGACGCGCTCCAGAGGTTGACTCATCGCACAAGGCTGCGCGGACAAGGCGCATTCGTCGTCATCACGGAGCTCTCAGCTCCCTTATCGATTAACCTCCACAGTGACCGGCTAGGCAGTCACGCTAGAGCTTTGAGACTAGTGGGGAAGGTGGGCCCGTCCGCGCCTTCCCTGCGTCCGCTCTCCGCACCAACAACGTTGCTCCATACAGCAGTCGTCCTTACATGCCAGCCCACTTATTTCGGTCAATCAACAACATGGTCTTTATTGCACGAGCTATTGGAGTGCTGCATAGCGTATAGCGCCTGTTGTTATTGCCCTTGCGACCTTTGGACCCGTGCGAAAGTGGCCGCAACAATGAGCGGAAACACCACCGTCGCCTCTGCGTACACCTTCACACTATCTCCGTCTAGCTTAATCTTTCCCCAGCTGACAGCTTCGTCTGGCCGTGCGCCTGCATCACTCCCGTCAAATTCTTGCGCAGTGTTGATGTACACCGCGCTGTCGGCTCCGTTGCGCATCAGGTTCGCATTGGCGATGTGATGCTTCACCAGTCCTCCGCCCAGGACAATCATGCCCGTCCTCTTCGCTCTCACGGCGATTGTGTTTATCCTTCTAATGTCCTCTACAATATCGACGCGCAGCTGCTCTGGTGATGACTTGAATGTGTGGAAGTACAGCATGTCGCCCAGGCTTCCGTCTGTCAGTGCCGGGCAGAAGACTGGGATGTCGTTCTTCCACGCCCAGTAGTAGACCGATCGCTCGTCGTTGATTTCCTTGCCTAGACGATTGATAACCTTGCTAGGCGTCCAGTACAATGGCTCGTCCGTTTTCTTGCTCGCTTCCTGCTCCTCCAGCATCCTGTCCAGGATCGGCACTACCCAGTCCTCGAACGCGCAGTAGTTGCTGTTAGGCACGACAAGATTGCCGATGCGGTTCATGCCCTTTTGGCGCAGTCCAGCCCCGGGGGTGGAGAAAGCGCCGAGGTATGTCGGCGCGAGGCATTTGATGAAGTCCTCTTCGACGCCGCCTGCAGTCGTCACGATGGCAGAAACGTGTTTGTGCTGGACCAGGTACCGCAGCGTCTCGCGCAGACCCGAGGATATCAGATTTGACGTGTACCCAAGGAATATCGTCGTGGGCTCCTTGGTCTCAGGATCTCTCCATGCGCGCTGTCATCTGTTAGCAGCGAACCCAAGCTTCTCGATGCGGTGGTGGTGTCGCGTCGCCAAATCAGGCTAAATGTTTCGCCTTTCGGGACTGCGCACGGACGGGAGATTCCCGGCATACGCAAGTGCTGTCTCCGCACTTGACGCTGACACGCCGCAGCGGCGCAGCACGCGCATTCGGATATTCCGGGCAGAAGCAACTCACCATGTCGTTGATGATGCGTACAGCCTCTCCCACCGAAGTCGCCTGGAAGCCCATGTTGGCATAGCCGCCTACCAGCTCCTCGACGGTGATGCTGCGCGACGCATACTGGTTGAAGTCGATGCCCTGTACCTCTTGCGCACCCTCAGGCACGGGCTCGGATGGCTTCAAGACTGCATCAGTGGCGCCGGTAGGGGCCGAAGAGTTGCTAGCCATGGCCGTGGGCAATCTCGGGTGGGCAGTCGCTGCAGCGGCGCTGTCGCGATGTTCTGGCGCGTCGTCGGGCTGCTCGACGTACTCTGGACGGTTGCAACTCTCGTACTGTGCTATTTGTGAGTCGGTGCGGCGGCAGATTTTGAGGAAAAAGAAGCCCCCACACCTGGGCACCCGTGGATTGGAGCTAAGGCATGGCAGTCTAATCCCTGCTCGTGTGAGGCTAGTTCTCGGGTCGATCCAGCTAAGGAGACTGCCAGTCCTTTTGTCATCAACGTGTGGGAGGGTCACGATGTCGCATCATCGCACAATACTCCAGCCGGTCCTCCAGGCGTGCGTCGTGTCCAGCATCTGCCGTGCAGCGGTGTCTGTCCGTGTTGGTGAAGGGGCCCGGGCTGGGATCGTCACCAAATCCCCTAGTGGAGCCAGGGCTGGAATCTGAAGCAAAACCAGCGGCTGCCCACCCCTGCAGATAATCGAAATGTCCAACTGCGGACCAATCAGAGACCGGCTGTCATGTCTGGATGGATTCCCCTCGCTAGGCCGTTGCAGGCCAGCCGGGGCGTCCATTTTGACTTGCAGGCATCCGTCATGGCTGGGTGTGTCAGTGCTTCGTTCGTGTTCTGGTCTCCTCGACGTTCCCTTTCTCATCATCACACCTACCTTGCGACAACGACCCTCTCCACGACACTATGCTGCCACGGCCTAGCGGCGCACAGCGTGGCTAAAGAGCCACTCCATTCTTCGTTCCCAGCATCGACAAGGTGCTGCCTCACGTGCCCAGGCCTCCCTCACAAAGAGACCCAGCGCCACGTCGACGGGCTGCAGAGCATCTTCAACACGGCGCCAGACTGCCTTTGTTGACCGCTGCGCGCTTCTCACACTCTCCACTATCTCCAGACGACTTTGCCTGACCTCCAGGGCCAGTTTGACGCGTTTGCGGCACGAAACGGGCGTTTTGGGCGTAAAGGCGACAATAGCAGATCGAATCTCAGCTCCCGGCGCCGAGCAGCTGCACCTGTTCCACCACGGATCGGGGTTTGGCGCTTTCCCTAATTCCCTGGTTTCGAAGCACGGGCCTTGCCGCTAGCGCCTCGTCTACCACGGCTTGCAAACACGAACCTCGACTGACACCCTGTGGTTGACGTTAACCTGGGACACAACAATTCGCCGGCCAATCGCGCGATCACTCTTGAGATTACACACAACGGTACATCAAAGGAACCCTTTTTCTTTTCTGCACCATCCGTTTGCTACGACCACTGCACGCGATCCGGGCCTGCGCTTACGACCGAGATTTCCAACCCGCTTTGACATACGACCTTTACCTGTGCCCATGCCGCAATCGCAAGTTCTTTGTACAGTAAGCAACCACCAACATGTCTGCTTCACGGTATCCGGAGAACGGCAGATATCCCCGCGACAGGTCGCCGCCCTACCGGGATCGAGATCGAAGACCATCCAACTTTAGTAGCGGTTACCCCCCAAGGGGTAACGAAACCTTTAGACCAAATGCAGAGCCTGGCGGCTTCTCAAGAGAAGTTCCGAAAGGTCCAAAATCTCTTTCCGATGCGCCACGTGGCCCGCCAGTGGGTCCACCATCAAGTGCATCTGCAGCGCCACGCGATGATAGAGGCCGAGGATTTGCTGGCCGAGGTGAAGCTACACCACTACGTACTGCGCCACCATTAAGCAGCGGTCCTGGGTTTCCACACAACTCCCAAAATTCCTGGAGGGCAGATCGTGACCGAGACCGCGACTTTGATCGACGCGAGCGACGGCCGACCCCACCAAGGCGCTCACCTATCCGGGACTCGAGAGATCCGCGCGATCAGAGGGACTTTGTACCGCGAGATTTGGATGTCAATCGCGCACGACGAAACTCACGAGACGGCCCCCCTTCAGCTGGTTCCACCTACTCTGACCCCCCACTCCCCGGCACAGCTTCATCGTATCGTGGCGGAGGCATTGGCCGCGGACGAGGCGGGTTTTCTGGGCGCGGTCGAAACTTCCACAACGATGACCGGGAAAGACACCACGACTCACGTGATCGCATTCCGGAACGGACATATCGGCCGCGGAGTCGGACACCCCCAAGGCGCCAGGAGCGAGACATTCGGGAAGATCGCGATTTCGACAGGAGAGAACGTGACGATCGAAGGTTCCCCAGAGAGTACGACTCCTACATCGGCCCAGCAGGTGCTGCGAAACCAGGACTACGGGCGTTGGACACACACCGAGGTCCGGGCCCTTCTGATCTGAGGCATCTACCTGGTACGCCTACGGGGCCAACCCCGCACTCATCTCACCACGCCTCTCCGTCCGACAGGCTAGGGCCTCAGGGAGATACTTACTCAAGACGATCTTCTGTTGCTATCGATCCTCTCTCTGCCAAGGATCCTCGGCGGGAGCCAGGGAAAGACGAGGCTCTCCTGGCCAGCCGCGCTGAAGCGTCCAGGGAGAGGTACGCTCCGCGTGCTTCATCGCCTCCTGCTTCCATTCCAGCCTTCGGTGGGTCCAATGTTTGGAGGGCGCCCATCTCTGACAACAAGCCAAGCGTTTCGACAGTAGCACCACCGAAGCCTGCTCAGCCTACTCCTGCTTCCACTACTAACACCTCTGTCGGTCCTGCCACACCCGCTGCTCCTGTTACTCCTGTGAAGGCGGCAGTAATCCCGACTGCACCAAAGGCAACCATTCCCCCAGGCCTCTCGACACTACCACCCACTGGGCCAAAAGCTGATCGGGCGCCGGATCGTCCACTGCTTGGAGAGGTGTCAAAGCAAGAAAGCAGAGTGTCCCATCCGGCTCCAACACGTATGGAACCACCTTCTATTCCTCCTACTGTTGTTCCATCTCAGGCCACTGATGTACCAGGCTCAGATAATGTGACTGCCAAGGTCCCGATCTCGCCCCAAATGGCTGCGCCTCCTAAACTTCCCACCATGGCACCATCAGCTCCACTAACCGCTCCTACTGCGCCATCAGGTGTTGCGAAGTCGCCTCCACAAGGTCCTGCTGCACGACCGCGTGCACCACCTACAGCTCCTCAAGCGGCACGAGTCAACGTATCTCCATCGTTCTCAAGGGCAACTCTACCACAGTACACTCCTCGAGATGCATCTCCCAGTGCGAATCCTTCAGGGTTTGGTCCGCGTAATGGTGGCGGAGTAGGCTCTACAATCAACACATCCCCGCAAAGCTTACCAGCGAATATACCTACGGGCCCCAAAGCTGACCGCACTCCGATGGCTCCTAGGCCACTTTCATCCTATCCGCAATCGGACAGGCCTGGCTTCCCTCCCGCTAGAGGCCCATTGAGCGGCGGCCCTAAGAGCATGCAATGGGTACGGCCTGGATTCAATTCGAGCCGACCGTCGGTGCCAACCAAGCGCGAATTCCCGGCTGAGGATCGTGAACGACCATTCGGTACTGCCCCTAAAGCCCCTCGACTCGAGCATAGCGTCTCTGCTACACAGATCCAGCGTAATTCGCAAGCAAAATCAGTATCGCCATCATTTTCACGCATTCAAACCGACATCGAAAAACCGAGAGAACGTGCGGTATCCGCAGAGCGTCCTGTAGTTCCCTCACCTAAACCTACTCCGATCGAGACTAGGCGACACTCTGATGTCGTCATGGCAGAAGCGTCACCTCGAATGGCCAAGCCACCCATGTCGGCTGCGTCGTCCGCCCCGGAAGCTCTGCAAGACTCTGACGATGATCTTGATCTTGACGAGGATGACTTCGCTGAGTCTGAGGCGAAATACAACCGAGAGCGAGCACGTCTAGAGGCCAAACGGGTCGATCTGAGTGCTCCGCATTTGCGCGCTACAACCCCCTTGCAGGAGATTGTTCTGCTGTCATGCCTCAATGTCGAGCATCTTCCTCAGACACAGCCAGATGTGGTGTCCGTCGAAGAGACAAGCACACCCTTTCCCCAGGAGCAGGAAGAGTCACATCTTTCACCTGTGCAAGCACGTCCTGTGGAACCAGCCACTACTCAACCCGCTCCAGAGAGTATCACGGCAGATCTACCGACACCTAAGGCGGAAGAGTCCGAGGATGTCGAGATGGAAGACAAAGAGGAGACTGAAGAGAGGTCGGCTGCGCCCGCAACGATGGCGCTTCGCCTACGACGTGAGACCTCTGCAGAGCAGGAAACTTTACCCGACCTCAGTTCGTTGCCCTATCTAGGCTCAGGCCCGCCAACGCCTCTATCGGACATTGGGCAAGACCGACCAAACCTATCTGACGATATCATGAACGCCATTCGAAGCAAACTACGCAAGAGCATCGAGCCTGAGCTTAACACTGATCAGATTCTCGAACGATACGCAGCTACGTATAGAGCGTGGCGTGTGTCCATCCGTCCCTTGGACGAAGAGCGCGATCAAGACGATCAGGATAGACAGCCGTCAGCCGAACCAACACTGAAGGCTGTCACTCCCGATGTACAAAATGCTGCAATGACAGGGATTCTGGATGGGTCGCTCGCTCCTACAGGCCGGAGGAGCCACGCGAGTCGATGGGCTACTGAGCTTGATCTGGAAGCTGTCATCAAAGAGTCTTTAAAGACTGCGGAAGAGGAAAAGCTAGGGAAGAAAGACAAAGAGCCACGCAAAGCCATGGCTGATCCGGAGAAGGAAGCCGATCTACCATTGGAACTTACCGAGGCAGAGGCTCAGCGTAGAAGATTCATCGACACTAACTTCCAACGCGAACCCGGTCAAGGAATCTTTGTGTTTCACTATGAGCCGCCAGAGGATGACTTCACCCCCGAGGAACACAGGGTCATGGTACATAACTACAAGGATCAATACGCAAAGAAGTGGGGTAAGCTGGCCGAAGTTCTTTACAAAGAAGTTGGAACCGAACGTACCTACAAGGATTGTATCAATCATTACTACGCTACCAAATGGGGCAGAGAATACAAGGGTAAACTCCGCAAAGCTCGGGCTCCCAGGAAGCGTGGTGGAGCCGTTGGTCGTGGTCGTGGAGCTATCGCCAACATGGACCGGCCCGAAGGACCAGGAGAGGACGGTTTGCCCTTACCAGTCACTGAGACTGGGCGACCTCGACGCCATGCGGCACCCAAATTTGGCCCAACCGAAACTGAGTTCGACCCGATCACAGGAATGCCCATACCAGGCCGAGCACGCAGGCAAACCGACGCCGACGACACGCAAGAAAAGGCCATGCGGCGTGGAAAACCGGCGAAGGACAAGGTTGGCCGGAAGGCGAAGAATACGCCACTCGCGGCCGTTCCTATAGGCTCACCTGTCAAGGTCGATCGTAAGGACAAGAACATGGGAGTCAAGATGGAGGACGACCTTGGCAAGCGGCCCATGAATGATATGCCCATACCCATGCCACTTATCCCTATGGAGGATCAGATGATGCTGGCCGGTGATTTGCAGCAGCTTTCTGGCCTGCCTGGCAGTCTTATGGATCGACCGAAGACACAGGCTGGTGCGAGACCTGGCCCGTCTAGCTACTGGTCCGTCTCCGAGTTACAAGACTTCGATAAGAATGTTGCACACTTTGGCACGGACTGGATCGCAATTGCAAACCATATGGGCACCAAGACGCACACTATGATCAAGAACCAGTATCTGCGTCTTGTCGAAAGTGGCAAACTAGACTTGGAGCAGACAGCAAAAGAGGCAGATGCTCGGAGGGAACGAGGTGATGATCTAGGTCCACCGCCAACACCGACTCCAGCACCTAAGAGACGATACGAGAGCACACAAGCGGGACCTATCCGCCCCATCGCACCTACGCCTGAACATGGGTCTCCGCCTCCGAACCCGCTTGTGCACCCCAAATTATCTCCTCCGCATTCAACTCCTTCTTCGAGATTCTCCACTATCGCCCAAGCACCTGTGCAGAGCAAGCCCATGGTGCCTCCGTCCGGATATTCTGCCCTACCAGAGACTAGCCTGGCGTCTGTACCCTCGATACCACCACAGCAGTCGCCGCCCGCTCCCCCTCAGCGTGCACCACCGCAGCATCATCACCAACACTCCATGTCGCAGCATAAGTCGCAGCCGCAAGGGCCACGAGCTGGATACTTTTCCGAAGACCTACCTCCACGTTTCGAGTCCCGGCCACCTTCACAACCTGCAGGCAACCAACAGGCACACCGGCCATTGCAACAACATGCGCCTCCACAGCCTCGCGTTCAAGAGCAACACCACTCGCCTCTCTATCGTGGACTTCACTTTCAGGAGCGAGACGTTGCGGGTAGACCTGAAGTTCAGCAGGAGCAGGAGGCTCAGCGCCGGTTTCATGAACACACACGTCGCATCTCACAGGAGATGTCACAGCATAGACCTTTTGCTCCCGGTGGTGCACCGCCGATCATGCCGCCAGTACGTTCGAACTCTGGGCTGAGATCACCAGAACATCGTCCGTTGCCGTTCTCGCACTCTCGACACTCATCGCAAGCGCAATCGCTCAGCCAAACGGTGGCCGATGTGTATTCTCCGAGTCATAGTACTAGCCACAGTGCGCAACAGCTGCCGCCACGGTCGACCATTCTTACACCGCCTGTCAAAGAAGAGCCTAGGAATCCTCCTCCAGTTAGCCTTCCCCCAGCTCAACCCCAAGCGATGCTTCACACTCAATTACAGCATCCTCAGCGCGGCCCACCACCTATGCAAAACACACCTCCACCTGCAGTAACAAAGCCGGCTGTCGAACCACGCAAGTCTAACTTGATGTCCTTGCTGAATGACACCGATCCTGAGGAGCCCAGACGCAAGAAGCCAAGCGAACAAGGTCCGCCATCGCATACCTCTACACCTCTGCAATCAGCACCAATCGCGCCTCCTCCTCCCACGACGCAAAGCTACTCGTCATCGTCAAGACGTCCGCTCTACGAAGATTCTATGGCTGCTCAATCTCCGTATACCCGTCCAGCCTCGTATGCTCAGCAGTCTTCACTTGCAAACGCAACGTCAAACAGGCCAATCGACTTGACTGAGGACAAGCCATCAGTAAGTAGGCCAAGTCTGCGCGATACTTGGCAAGCCCAGCAGCCGTTCCACCGAGGATTGTCTCAGACTCCACAAATCACGTCGCTTTCTTCAACACCGACCGGCCTGCCTCAGCCGCCCAACGTCAACGATAGGATGTTCAGCACTCATCGTTCTGTCTTCTCCCAGCATAACACTCCACGTCAAAATCCGACACCGCCACCTCTTGCCGGCTTCAACAACTCTCCAAATCCGCATTCGCGCACTTCGAGCGTGAGTGGGCCGCCTGGGTCGTTGCCTCGACATGGTGTTCCGAGCACCACTGCAGCACAGCATGCGCAAGCACTGAGTGCATCATCGCAGATTTTGCAGCCGAACCCATACGCCCAAGTTGATCCGCCGGGCAGTGGTGTCCCGCCACCTGGACCTATGGGAATGCGGCCAAGTCCGCACCTGTCGACAAGCCACATAGCACAGCAGCAGAGGGACTCATCCGGACGTAACGACCATTCGCAGGCCTCAAACGCAAACCTATCGTACTCGAACCCACAAACGCCCAACGAGCATCCAGCCCACCCTTTTCAAGGGTTGAGTAGACTGACGGAGCCTTATCGTCCTCGCGATCCTCGTGAGGCCCACGATTTTGATCCTCGTCACTCGGATCGCGACACCAGCCGTGAGTTGTCTCAAAGGGCCGACTATCTACGTGAACAGCTTTCCAACCCCACGCTACGTGCGCCAGGTCCTCCAATGCACGAAGATCTGCGATACCAACCCCAAGATCGGGGATACCTCTCGCAACGCTCACAGACTCCGCTTTCTAGGCCGGAGCACGGTCAGCCTCCACCTTTGCAGCATCCTCCGCACTCGTCTCTCGGGGTAGCAAACCACTCTCTTTATGGTCAGCGCCCTCCCGAGGAACCACAACATCACTTCATGCGCAATCCTCGTGATCGCAGCATGACGGAACGTATCCGCGAGGAGCAAGCCCAAGCTCAAGCTCAACACCAGGCAGCGATGAATCGAGAAGAGCATATGCGAAGAGAAGCTGAACAAAACTCAAGAGAACGTGAGATGCGCGAACGCGATGCACGAGATGCGCACTACAGGGACAGCATCATGCGAGGAAGACAAGATATGAGGGGTCCACCGCCACCACAACCCAGTTCAGGGCCAGGATCAATCCACGACCCTCGACCACCCACAGGACCTATGGACTGGACGAGCGGAGTACGGCATCCGCAGGACCGTGGTCCATGGCAACGCTAGGGGGTCAGCTCGATTGACGTTTCGGATATTACATGCTCTACGCATATGATTTCTTTTGTGTCCCAGTAGATAGCTTCAGCGTTCCCGGCGTCATGTTTCTTGACGCTTTACTTGTTCATGTTTAAGAGAAAGGATGACAGTCATGCCGCGCGGTAGTCTTGCCTTTGGCGTTGGGTGGTGCTTGTCCTGCCTGTTTAGTTTTTGTTATACCAGAGCGAGTGGTTTGGAAGAGCAGAAAGAGATGGCTTTTGGACCTTTCTTGTAGAAACTTGTAGTGTATTATACGTAGCTGTCGAGCTAATTGCGAAATGTTCTGAATGAACTTGACTTTCTATTGGGTGCTGCTGCTGGTGAAGTGAGATATGCCGTGCTCAAGGCTGAGTAGGACGCTTTACACCAAAGCCGAGGTCAGGACATGTGAACAACAGTGGGATGATACGAGGCGTACACTCTTCTGGACACGTAGCTATGCTAGCCAATCGTGCACATTCCACAACGTGCATTGCAATCTGTAGCGCAGATGGGTAGACGTTTTTTCGATCGCCCTCCGTGGGAACACACTAATAGAGATTGAACGCTACTGTGCTGACGACATACGCCACTTCGCCCTTGGCCTATCTTCTCAATGTTGGTAAAAGTAGGCAACAAGCCAAGAATAGGCGAACCAGTGCACTGCAATTCCTAGCGCAGAAGACAAGCTGTTGAGTCTCCATAATGACGGGCATCTCGTGCGATTAGTCGTTACTCACGCCTGCATCAGCCTCAACGCCGATAAGCCTCTGCCACGAACCCATCCCACTCCCCCTTAAGATCGTCCTCCAAGCTCCCACCAGAGACCCTCATACCCTCAAACTCCAACGACCCAACACTAGGTACCTCATACAAACACCCTTCCATCGACCCATCACCAGAGAACGTCATGTAACCCGTACACTTGCGACCAAACGTCAGTTGTCCAGTCTCCAGATCGCGAAGACGCCAGCCAAGCGAACAGGGTTGACCTAAACTATCGGAGTCGCCGGGGCCGGGGTTCATCTGGATGATACCGTCCCAAGCGCCCCAGCGGAAAGTCGCCCACCAAATACCGCGGGAGGGGTCGCGGGCGAGTGTGAGGTCGAAGTTGTAGTCGTTGAAGATGGAGCTGGCGGTTGCGCAGGAGATGGAGTAGGTACCGCTGAGGAGGAGGGGTGGCGAGGGTTGGTAGTAGTTCGGGTAGGGGTCGGTCTTGATGTGGGGTGATGGGTACATTCGGTCGGGGCTGGGCTGGTACTGCTCTTGCTTGATGCGGGACCGTGAGGGTGTCGATGGCGCCGCAGAGACGCGGCTCTCTTTCTTGATATTGGGAACAGATCGCCTGGCGGTGGGCTCCTTCTTGATGGGTGCTTTCTTTGGCGCTGGCTCTTTCTTGACTCTCGCAACTTTTTGTGGTGTCGCTACCGGGCTAGAGACGGTACTACCAGCGCACTTGCGTTTGGCTGGCGCTGGGTTCCTTGGGATGTTGTTGCTCGCCTGCTGCGCGTCCATACACTGGCTGAGCGACGCACCTCCCAAGGCCAGATTGACTACGAGATAGGATTAGCAGCGTCAAATATCAGGGGTCTTTAAGCCTACCAGTGACGTTGACACCGCCATTTACACCATGAGAGCTTCCAAGACCTAGCTTGCTAGTAGCGCTCGACTTAGGCGCCTGCTTGCTCACTGCACCACCATTCTTCTTCAATTTCCGGTTCTCCGCCTCCCATTCAGCCTTCAGTTCGCTCTCGACCTTCAAAACCCATGCTGGTACCTCAAGTTTGAACTGGTTCATAGCATTCAGGAGTCGCACTTTCGCCGCATTCTTGTCCTTGGTGACCGGTAGTCCATAGTGAATGAGTTGGGCGGAGTAGAAATGCCACACCTGGTCTTTCGCTGGTGTCGCGACTTCAGGCTTCCGGCCCTTGCTATAGAGATTGGGGGCTTCCGGGCGGAGGAGAGCCGCAAGTTCGGCGACACTCGCGCGTCCGTGGTGGTTTCCGTTGCCAGGGTCTGCGTAGAGGACGGATGAGTAGATGAAGTCGCCGAGGCGGGCGGGAGGGGCGAATGTCGCCATGTATCTTAGAGTGATGGGTATCGAGACAGGCTACGATTTGTTCAGCAGATAGTACGTGGAAGATGTCCACGAAGGGGTGTTGCAGAGTGGTAGAGCGGATTGCGTGGGTCGCCGGTAGGCTACCAACGAAGCTTGAGTCCGTGCTTGGTCAGAGGAACATCTACGGTTCACTCTTCTACACCCAAATTTTCCTCGGCGCTTTCAAACCCCGAGGACTGTGTGTCTTCTTCTAGCTTCACCCTGATCTGTTCCCCGGCTTTCGCCTTTTCTCTCTTTTTCTTTGTTTCCGGACTTCCGTATTCTTTATCGAGATCGGATACGAGATTGAATATATTGCGCAGAAAGTTGGTGTAGAACTGGGTGTCAAAGGCTTGATGTCGTCGACACAGAATCTTCTCCCAATCGTTCTGGTACTTGTGAAATGCGCAACTATCCTTTACATCGTCATACAAACGCTCACGTAGATGTGGATCTTTTGGTTGGGAGGCTATAATCCACATCACTTCGGCAAGCCAATCATGAGAGAAGCATTTTCTGATGTCTGCTGCAGTCGTGGTGTTCAACGGATAACCGACGAAGACGAAGGCCATCCACTTTAGCAAGAAGATTCGGAACGGTGAATTCGAGAGCAGAGATTTTTCTAAGGCGTCTCTGTCGATCTTCTGACACAGAATACCCGTGGGTCTTTCAAGGTCAACCATCAAGGTCATAATGTCCTGCCTCAACAGCGGCACGTCATAAACTTCTGCAAAGACATACAAGCGGAGGAATACGTCGCCGTAGAAAGCTGAAATTGCTGTTTCCTGGCGGTAATCTGTGATGCTATTAGCATGTAAAGGGCAGCAGCAAGTAGCGCAGTAATGTACTTCTTGGAACCAGCCAGTCAGGGTTGCTGTTAGGCTTACTATACCTCGCATTCTCCGTAGAGTCGATTGGGGTAGAGTTCTCATGCCGTGTGGCTTGCGCGTATAGCCAATCCTGATACAGGCGGAATATGTCTGCCCTGGTATCAGGCAAACTTATTGACCACACCTCTGTTTCGAGGAGGGGACCCCCAAATGCTTTGCGAAAATATCCTGAGTAGAAACATGCGATATCTTTGTGAACTGTGACGACAATGTCATCAAGGTCAAGGCGAACAGTGACGTGCGCTTGGCTTATCGTGCTATCGGTACGGATCAGTTTGGTTGACCAATCGAGAGGTCAATAGTTATGATTCGGGTTAGAGCTTGCTGGATTGGATGAGACTCACGAAAATGTCGGACGTTTGGACTTGTGGCTGGTCAGTTGGGCTTCGGCTGGTCTCTTAGCAGCATTTTCCATGGTTATTATGGTGACTTTGAAAAGGGCCAGCGAATTGATCCAGTCTCGCTCGGGAGCTTTGGGGAGAGATATGGGAATTGAGCTGTGACTGAAGGGATAGTTTGGGTACAGGTGCTGATGTTACGAGCTGAACAGAGATTTCGGGGCACCTCGGGAAGTGTTGAAGCGTAACGCGTGCCACTATTTGAGACTAGCGCGACTTCGACACGTCTTCGGCCCTATTGCCATCTTCGCATGCAACATCTGTTCTAGTATTGATCATGAACAGAAGGCCAATACATTGCAGCTCGGTAGTCGTTCAGACTGGTGTCAATACCCTCACATGGATTTGTTAAGGTCTCGACTCATATACCCAGGTAAGAGCAGGCCTATGGAGACGGGTCGACGCGTGAGATGACGACAGTCTCAGCTTAGCCACCGTGGAGCAAGATCTCACAATCATCGTATGCTTCCACATCTTCCCAATTGCTTACGGGTGGCCCCATTTCTGAACCAGCATCCACTCCTCGTGAAATTGTGAATGAGAAGGTCGAGTTTGAGGGCAGTCCAACACCGGTAGAGAAGGGCATCGCTGCATGATCATTCTTTTCTGGCATGTCAGTCATATGCTCAGGGTTTTCCTGGGCCTGCGCATGTGATTTTGCCTCCAGCATTGCCTCCTCCATATCGTAAACCTCGCTCATGCATGCTCGCAGAAAGCTAGCGAACCAGGGTCCTTCTTTCTGCTGTCTCATCTTGCAGACCGCGATCGCTTTTTTATCGTCTTTATGCTCGTGGAAGTTGCAAGAGTCAGAGAGTTCTTCCTTAAGATTTCGTAGGGTT